ATATATATGTTACACCTTCATAGGTTGACCACTCTGAATAATTACTCAAGAAACTCTCAACTTCAACTCCCACCCTCTTTTCTTTCTCTTTGTCGAGTTATTAAACTAAATATTTTCCCCCAGCAGTAAATTATTTAGCCGGATGATAAAACTTTTGGAAATAGTCACAGTTTTCTGTATAAAGATTTAATGTTGCATTATCAAGATGAATTTAAATGTAAAAGTTCTTTTTTTAATAAGACTAATTTGTTTATTTAAGTTGGTAATGCAGTTGAAGTAGTGGAAAGAGGTTAGTAAGACAGATGTAAGTAAAAAATGTAGTTCACTCAGTCTGAGTAGAAAAGATAATTCACTAGGGCCTAAGTAAAAAAAAGTATATTAGTCAGCTATAAGTAGAAAAGTTAATTTATGCTTAGTGAGTAGAAAAAGGTATATTAGTTAAACCTAAGTAGAAAAATGTAGTTCAATTAACACTAAGTAGAAAAAGGTAGATTAGTTAGTTAAACCTAAATAAAAAAAAGGTATTTTAGTCAACACTAAGTAGAAAAAAGTAGTTTAGTTAGTTAAACCAAAGTAGAAGAAGGTAGTTTAGTCAACCCTAAGTAGAAAAAGGTATTTTAATTAGTTAAACCTAAGTTGAAAAAGGTAGTTTAGTCAGTCTTAAATAGAAAAAAAGGATTTTAGTCAAACCCAAGTTAATAGAAGTAGTTTATTTTATAGAGACCTAAGTAGAACACGGTAGTTAATTAATAGTTAAAGGTAGTTTAGTTAACCGTAAGTAGGGTAGTTAATTCAGACATAATTGTAAGTAGAAAAATGTATATTAGTCAACCCTATGTAGAAAAGTTAATTTATACTTCAATTTAGGTAGGAAAAGGTATTTTAGTCAGTACTAAGTAGAAAAGGGTAGATTAGTCAGTTAAATTTAAGTAGAAAAAGGTAGTTTAGTCAACCATAAGTAGAAAAAGGTTTTTCAGTCAGATCTAAATAGAACAAAGTATTTTAGTCGGTCCTAAGTAAATAGTGGTAGTTTATTAAGACCTACGTAGAAGAGCGTAGTTCAATCTGATCAAATTGTAAGTAGAAAAACATAGTTTAGTCAGCCCTAAGTTGAAAAAGGTTAGTATTAATACTTAAGTAGTTAAAGGTAGTTTATTCAGTCGAAAGTAGAAAAGAGTAGTGAATTCTGATCTAATTGTAAGTAGAAAAATGTGGTTTACTAAATCCTAAGAAGGCAGAGGTAGATTAAACTGAAGTAGAAAAAAGTATTTTAGTCAGTCCTAAGTCGAAAGAAATTATAATTATTACTTAAGTAGTTAAAGGTAGTTTAGTCAGACCGAATTGAAAGTAGAAAATAGTAGTGTAGCCAGAATTAAGTAGAAAAAGGTAGTTTACCAATACGTAAATAGTTAAATGTAGTTTAGTCAGACCGAATTGAAAGTAGAAAATAGTAGTTTAGCCAGAATTAAGTAGAAAAAGGTAGTTTACCAATACGTAAATAGTTATAGGTAGTTTATAGACATTCTGACTAGACTTGTCGATAGGAAATTTTCTTTTGCTGCACTTATGTAATTGTTCAATCGTGAAACATATGTATATCAATAATTTTTTACTGTTAACACGTCAATTGGATTGTTACTGACAAATCTAAATTTCAAATATTGAATGTTAATTTAAAAATTGTGTCAATCATTCTGATTTTTTAAATAAAATTTTTGTTTTCTTAAATAAATTATTCAAAAGAAGATATTAAATTCAAATCATGAAGGTGAATTCATTTTGTGTTAAAATAAAATATTTATTACTGGAATCACAATATTTGGATTAATTAATTAACAAATTTAGAGAAATTTTTTTTTTATTATTAGCAAAACTAATAACTTAAAATAAACCTGTTTCTTTAGTTTTCTGTTTTCTCTTTTAGAGAAAAATGCTAAAAATTTTCTTATTTAGATAAATAATATTTCGTTTACTCGCGTTATTAGTTGGCTTATTTTGAATTTTCAACTGAATTCCGCGTCAGCTGAGCGAAAAATACGACAAACTCGACAAAGTTCTTTGGCACGTCGTCAGAGTCGAAAAATATTTACATCTTTTGGTAAAAGGGGGTGGAAGAAGGGAGGGTGGGAGTGTGAGAAGGAAGAGGACGTACGTGTAAGTCTTTTTTCCAACCTGCTTCCTCAATATCCCAAGATTTGCTGCACGCCAACACCTCTCCCCATTCCATTTCTCGTTTATACATCGACCGTCGTATTTACGTAAATCAGCCGTAAACTCTCTTCGTATTCTTTATTTTATTTCTTTTGCGCGTCTAAAAGTTTGTGAGTTGAATAGATTTAAGAAATCAGGCAACTGTCTCTACATGTCTATGTTGATCGAATAAATGCATACATTTTATAATTCTTTGCATGTCCCTTTTTTTCTATTTTGTTTACTGTGCAATAATATTTTTATCTTAATTTTTACTTTAATTTAATTTAATTTATTATATTTATTATTATTTATTAGTATATTTGTTATTTTTTTGTTCGATGGTTTTTGAGACAAAAGTTCTAATACCTATGGGCCCAAAGTATTATTATCCCAAAGGATATTTTTTCAAAAACTTTTTTTTCCCTAAGGATATTTTTTTCGAAGTATTTTTTTTCCAATAGTCGTTTTTTCAAAATCCAAAAAATTGTTTTCCTTTATTTTTCCAATTTGAAAATGTCACTAATATCATTTACGAAATGTTTCTTTAAATTATTTGTTTAAACCATTTTTTTTAAATATAAATAATTGTACATTTGTTCTGATTTGAAGAATTTCTTTGGATTTCATTTTTGGGCCAATTTTAAGACGGATAATTAATAATTTATAATTTCAGTGACAGTAGTAAAAGTTTGCTTTAGTCAGACAACATTTATAAATTATAATTTTATTGCTAGTAGTAAACGTAGGCTGTGGTCAGACAGAACTGTTGATATTTTATTATTTTTGTAATTTTAATATCAGTAGTAGAAGTAAATTTTAGTGAGACAGAACATATCAAATTCTTTTAATTTTATTACTAGTAGTAAAAGTAAATTCCATGCAGACAGAATTGTATATTTTTTGTATTTTTAGCTTTATTTATTATTATTATTATTATTATTATTATTATTTATTTTTAATTTTTCTAATTTCTGTAGTAAAAGTTACAGCCAAACAAAATATTTCCGAATTCTAAGGATATCAGTAGTAAAAGTCAATTTTAGTCAGACAGGAGGACTTCAATTATTGTAATTTTAGTATCAGTAGTGGAGAGACATTTTAGTAAGACAAAACAATTAAATTGAATATAAAAAATTAATAAGAAGAATTAAAAATAATAAGAATTAATAAATAATAATTACATACACTTAATTGAAAAATTTGATAAAAATATGATTTATACTCAATTTAAGAATATTTTCCTTGTGAGAATTAATTATTATTTTTATCAGATATTAATTTTTGTTAAATATATATATACATATATATATATATATATATATATATATATATATATGTAAATGTGACTGGAGAGAAATTTTCGATGAAAATATATCTTCTTTGGGGAAAAAGAAGGCTCTACGTGTTCACTTGACTTGGCGATAAATTTGTAAATATCCCTCAAGAAGAAGAAGAAGAAGAATTTTTCGATCTTTTTCTGATGAAACTAGTGGTGAGGGGGATCAGGCACGATGTAACTGGCCACGAAGAATCTTGATGAGAGTGCAAGCCCTCGGAGCACGAATTTTAATGGTCTCGACACTTGGCTAGGTTTTGCTTCGTCAACTGACTCGTTGTTACAGCAGTCTGAAAAAAAAGAAAAAATCGCAAAAAGAAGGGAAAAAAACCCCCCTTCTAAGATTAGTTACAGTCTTTTTCTGACACTTCTTCTGACAAGTCAAATTATTGTCATCAAGAGAGAAAAATCTCGTAATCATTAAAAAAAAAAAAAAAAAAATTTCTTTGAAAAATATAATTTGTCTATATTTTTGTAAATTTAACATAGGAAAATACTCGCAATTCGCGAGAGGAATGGGAAGATTTATTTAGAGATTAATTTAAGTTTCTTTTTTTCGCTGTAAACTGTGAAGTTTGCTTATTTACTTGACGGTATTGACTGTGTATATTCCGGTAGTAAAAAGACGGTCTCGCTTATTTGCAATTCGTCTTAGATCTCGAAGCAAACGTTTCTCTTTCTCTCTCTCTCTCTCTCCTTGGGTTCGAAAGTCCTCCCTTGGGAAGTGGAAAAGAGGTTTCCGAGGGAGTTGGATGTTTTCGATGGATCGATTCAAGGGGTACTTCCTTTATGCAAACTTGCTTTTCCGTCAATGTATATACATATAGTATATACGTCGACGACATATGTGCGCCTATCTGGGACCTTTCGCTACTTTTCAACGTTCATCCTTTACTTTTGAGTGTAGAATGTTTGAAAGTTTCGACGAAACGGGACACCTGACGATTTCACGAGAAAATAAGTCACCACTATACTGCAGCTTGTGAAGATAAATTGAGGCGGTTTCCGGAAAAGGAACTCGTGTCTAGTGAGGGTGCTTCAAACATATGCCCATGTCTGCAAGCTTAATGGGCTCTCACATCACATACAATTCTAGCGTACATTTTCTCATTTAGTTGCTAAAACACAATTTTCTTGAAGGGGTCGACAGAGAGAGAGAGAGAGAGAGAGAGGGGGGGCGAAAGTTGTCGCTGGAGGTAAGTTGTCACAAGACTCTTATCTCAATTTCTACCTTGTACTTGAAAATTGTGTTTTGCTCTCAACTTTGTAAAAGATAAAAAACTTTAATTAGAAAAAATTGCACACAAAATTGTGTTTTCTATATTATTAAAAATGCAACTACATTTTTTTTTATATTAAAAATCGTTGACTACTTATTGGGTTAGGATTATTTTGACAAAAAAAAATTTTTCGTAACAATTGTTACATTGTTGCTATGCTAAAAGTTGTCTTGAAATAGGTTGCTATAGACATGCGGAATGGGTTGTCATGGAAACGGTTGTTATGGTAAAGATTTCTAGGAAAACGGTTACTATGGAAAGGGTTACTGCAGATACGGTTACTATGGAAACGGTTACTGTAGATACGGTTACTATGGAAATGGTTACTATAGAAACGGTCACTATGGATACGGTTACTATGGAAACGGTTACTGTAGAAGCGGTTACTATAAAAACGTTTACTATGGATACAGTTACTGTAGATGCGGTTACTATGGAAAGGGTTACTATGGAAACGGTTACTGTAGATACGGGTACTATGGAAATGGTTACTATGGGAACGGTCACTATGGATACGGTTACTATGGAAAGGGTTACTGCAGATACGGTTGCTATGGAAACGGTTACTATGGATACGGTTACTATGGATACGGTTACTATGGAAAGGGTTACTATGGAATCGGTTACTGTAGATACGGTTACTATGGAAATGGTTACTATGGAAACGGTCACTATGTATACGGTTACTATGGAAATGGTTGTCATGGAAACGATTGTTATGGTAAAGGTTGCTATGGAAACGGTTACTATGGATAGGATTACTGTAGATACGGTTACTATGAAAATCGTATTCATGGAAAAGGTTGTTATGGTAAAGGTTGTTATGAAAATGGTTACTATGGAAACGGTTACTATGGAAATGGTTACTCTAGATACGGTTACTATGGAAATTGTTGTCATGTAAACGATTGTTATGGTAAAGGCTGCTGTGGTAACGGTTATTATGGATACGGTTATTCCAGATACGGTTACTATGGAAAAGGTTTTCTTGGAAACGATTGTTATGATGAAGGCTGCTATGGAAACGGTTACTATGAATACGGTTACTATGGATACAGTTACTGTAGATGCGGTTACTATGGAAAGGGTTACTATGGAAACGGTTACTGTAGATACGGGTACTATGGAAATGGTTACTATGGGAACGGTCACTATGGATACGGTTACTATGGAAAGGGTTACTGCAGATACGGTTGCTATGGAAACGGTTACTATGGATACGGTTACTATGGATACGGTTACTATGGAAAGGGTTACTATGGAATCGGTTACTGTAGATACGGTTACTATGGAAATGGTTACTATGGAAACGGTCACTATGTATACGGTTACTATGGAAATGGTTGTCATGGAAACGATTGTTATGGTAAAGGTTGCTATGGAAACGGTTACTATGGATAGGATTACTGTAGATACGGTTACTATGAAAATCGTATTCATGGAAAAGGTTGTTATGGTAAAGGTTGTTATGAAAATGGTTACTATGGAAACGGTTACTATGGAAATGGTTACTCTAGATACGGTTACTATGGAAATTGTTGTCATGTAAACGATTGTTATGGTAAAGGCTGCTGTGGTAACGGTTATTATGGATACGGTTATTCCAGATACGGTTACTATGGAAAAGGTTTTCTTGGAAACGATTGTTATGATGAAGGCTGCTATGGAAACGGTTACTATGAATACGGTTACTATGGATACGGTTACTGTAGAAACGGTTACTATGGAAACGGTTTTCATGGAAACGGTTGCTGTGGTCTGTTGTCATGATAATGGTAACTATGGAAATTGTTGCTATAAAAACGGTTTCTATGTTAACTGTTGTTATGGAAACAGTTGTTATGGAAATGGTTGCTATAGAAATGGTTTCTATGGTAACACTTGTCATGGAAACGGTTGCTACGGGAACAGTTGTCCTGGAAGCGGTTACTATAGTCGATTTTTTTTTGTTCCATGGAAAAATTCATCAACATTTTCTATAGGAAAAATTAGGAAAAATATATTTTTTGCTTAAAATTATGACTGCAAAATATAGTTATAGAGAGAATTGAAAAATTGAGGTTATTCTTGTAATGAACGTATACTATTTTTTAATATAAAGAGTAAAAAGGGAAAAAAAGTATAAGAATATTAATGTATCTTGAGGATTAATTTTTTTTCTTCTGATAACTCTTTACATTACTTCTGGGATAGCTTCTATATGTATATATATATATATATATATTGCGGGTTATAGAGTGACCGAATGAAATGAAGAGATAGTCATCGGTACGCGGCTATCCTTGGTGAAATGCCTCAGATTACTGAGAAAAATTGCTCGGTAAAATTGCCTCTTGTATTCTTAATGCTTCTCACGCTAATTACCCTTGGGGATCTCACCCTTTCATTGTCCTCGTCATTCGCTGGAAGTGCGCTTACGACGAGCAAGATAGTTTTCTCTCGAGGTAAATCCCTTGAGAGAAATAAAAATATAAACTCGTCACTTTCAGCTTCATTGGCAATAGAAAAAAAAATTGTCTTGTTTGAATAGTGGAATATATATATATAGAGAGAGAGAACTTGACTGCCTATTGTTAAGTTAGATATAATTGCTAATTCTAATATATTGAAACATTATAATGAGAAATTAAATATTTATTGGTAGGGGACGATGATTTTCTGATTTGAGGGCAATACAATTGTTGGTATAGGAAATTAGAAAAAATCCCAATGGGACGTTGGTAATTTTGGAACGTTTTCAATTTTCAATCTGGGGTCTATTTATATTTGTCAATAATACTTTTTTCTTCTTGAGTTAAAGGTTAATTCAGCTTTGACAAGACAATTTTGTCTACTTAAAATAAATTCTCTAGAAAAATAAATTTTTTTAAAATTAATTTTGATAGTTTTAACTATTTTATTTTAAAAAAAGTAAGTTCCAATCAGAACAGTTGAAATGTTTTTACTTTTTCAGCATCAGTAGTAAAAGTAAATTTTGGTCAGACAAAAACTTTCCGAATTCTGCTAAATAAGTTCTCATTAGTAAAAGACAGTTTTTGTCAGACATAACGGTTTTCGCCTTTGTCAAGTTTGTACAAGTAGTGAAAGTAAGTTTTAGTTGCTTTTGAATATTTTTTTTAATTGTGGCTTTAGTAGTAAAAGTAAGTTTTAGTCAGGCATGAAATTCTTAAATTTTTGTTTTAGTAGTGAAAGTAATTATGAGTAAGAAAAGGGTATGTCCAAATTCTAGTAATTTTTCAGTAGTAAATTACAATTCTACTTAGACAGAGCGGTTTTAATTATTGTCTCCTTTATATCAGTAGAAAAAGGTAGTTTTAGTCAGACAGAACGATTTCAATTCTTGTTCTTTTTGTATCAGTAGAAGAAGACAGTTTTAGTCAGACGGAATGGTTTTAATTCTTATCCTCTTTTTGTATCAGTAGTAAAAGAAAGTTTTATTCATAAAAAACAATTCCGGATTCTTCTAAATAAAAATATAAATATAATAAATAAGTTCTCAGTAGTGAAAGATAGTTTTAGTCAGACAGTAAGGTTTCAATTTTAATTTCAGTCGCAGTAGTAAAAGTAAATTTTATCTCAGACCAAAAAAAAAACCTAAATAAAAATAATTTTGATTCAAAAAATTTGAATAATAAAAGAAAATTTCACTTGAAAAATGTCGTTGTCGTCTATGCAATGCGAATTCGTAAGTGCTTTTATTTTGTATTCTGAGCAAATAATAAGCAATGCTGTCGAGGAGTGCGAAAACTACTCGAAGCATTTGAATGTTGAATTAATTCCGCTTGAAGAAGGTATCTAGAATTGTACGTGTGAGGTTGTAGGCTTGAAGCCACAGTGAAGAACGATAAGGGTACATGGGCGACGAGACTAAGAGAGAGAGAGAGGGAGAGAGGGATGGCACAGACTGAGGCCAAGCAGTTGCTCGTGGTGTCTGCGGCAAACAATTCCAATTAACTTGCTGAAATTGAAATAGGACTCGTCTATCTCTCTCTCTCTGACCGACGCTCACTTCACATTGAAGGTGGTTGGGTCCCCTATGATGATGTCTTACGATTCCGATCAAAACCAAAAGGGAAAAAGAGAGAAAGAAAGAAAAAGCAATTTCTTTCTCTCCTTTACACTCACACAACATACTTTTCCCTCATTTTAGGCTAATGAAACTCATTTCATAAATTCCTCACGAGAATATTTTTAATAAAAGGATTATTTCTTTCCCTTTTTTTTGGTGAAAAAAAGGAGAGAGAAAGAAGATTTTACGACCCACTCGTTTATAATTGAGGCTCATTGTCAGATTATTAACGAAATTTAAATTTTTTTCTTTTTAAATTTGAAAATTATTTTATTTTGTTTTCAATTAAAAAAATTAAAGTATTAATTATTAACGAAATATAAATTTTTTTTGAAATTAATTGACTTTGAAAATTATTTTATTTAGTTCCGAATTAAAAAAATTAAATTATCGAAATGTAAATCTTTTCTTTTTTTTTAAATTAATTAACTTTGATAATTATGTTATTTAGTTTTGAATGAAAGCAATAAAAAAAATTAAAGTATTAAAATCAGATGAGTTTGCAAATATTAAAAAAAAAAAATTTTTTTCATGTGTAAATAAAATATTTTAATATACGTGATTTGTGGGTCAAAATACAAGCATATTAGATCTCTTTAATCCTGTCTTTGTAATATGCAAAGTATTACGCTAAGAAAGTAAATAAAATGTGAAAGATGAGAAGCAATGGAGAGAGAGAGAAGATGGATATAAACAAGAATAGAGAGAAACAAGAAAACCTGTGTGTGTTTGATGCGCCATGACGCTCAAGGTAACTCTTGATGTTACTAGCGCGCGCGACACACAAGCGTAATACCGGATAAGCCGCAATAATGCAGACCCGTTTTCTGTGCGTTCATGCAAAAGCGGGTATGGATACTACTGCTGTTCGCGCAGTAGAGAGAGCAGCTCAAAAAGCTTGAAAAGCTTCAAGAGCCGTAGATATATATATATATATATATATATATAATCCTTGAACCGGGCGCACATGAATGTTCGCAATAGTTCTTTTCCATATACTTTATCCCAATGTTGTGTATTTATTGGGCATAACGGATTTTCCTAAATATCATATATAACACATTTTTTTTACTTAAAGATTGATTTAATAAAAGTTTCTCATATATATGAAATATTACCCCTTTATGGACTGAAAAATATATATATTTGAATATATATTTGAATAGTATCGAATAAATATTTATTTTGTATTAAATAATTATTGAGTCAATTAAATGTATATTTTAAGGGTACTTCCCAGGTAGAAAAATTAACATTACTAACGTTACTAATATTACTAACGTTAGTATCTATAAAAAAATTAAGAAAATGTTTCTAAATTGTATTTTTGCAGAAACTTGTCGAAAATCGACCACCAGGAAGTATTTAATGTTCTTACCCGCACTTTTTATAATTTTCATTTCTATTATCACTTCCACTTTTTTATTTTCATTACCGTTTCCACTTTCACTTTTTCTAATTCTCATTCGCACTTCCATTCCCACTTGCACTCTTTCTAATTTTCATTTCCACTTTCACTTCCACTTTTTTATTTTCATTACCACTTCCACTTTTTCTAATTTTTATTCCCACTTCCCTTTTTCCAATTTTCATTCCCACTTCTACTCCCATTTTTTCCACTTCTAATTTTCATTAGCTGTTGCCATTTCGACTAAAACTCTTTCTAATTTTCATTTACACAACCATTTCCACTTTTTTTTATTACCATGGATGGAAATTAGAAAAAGTGAAAATGATAATGAAAATTTAAAAAATTAGGAATGGAAGTGGGAGTGAAAATATAAAAAAGTTGTAATGAAAATAAAAAAGTAAAAGATGAAATGGGAATGAAAATTGGAACAAGTGGAAGTGAATGTGTGAATGAGAATTAGAAAAAGTGGCAGTGGCAATGAATATAAAAACCTGGAAGTGGAAATAGGAATGAGAATAAAAATTAGAAAAAGTGGAAGTGGCAATGAATATAAAAAAGTGGAAGTGGAAATGGGAATGAAAATTAGAAAAAGTGGAAGTGAAGTGGGAATGAGAATTAGAAAGAGTAAAAGTGAGAATGGAAGTACGAATGAGAATTAGAGAAAGTATAAGTGGAAATGGAAATGAAAATTATAAAAAGTTTAAGTGGAAGTGAAAGTGGTAATGGGAAAGTAGTGGCAAAGTTTCTGTGAAAATATATTTTAGAAACTCTTAATTTTTTTATAGGTACTAACGTTAGTAACATTAGTAATGTCAGTAACATTAGTAACGTTAGTAACGTTAATTTTTTCACCTGGGTTAGCCTCGTAACATAATCTCAATCTAAAAATTGTACTGAAAAAAATTTAATGATTCTAAATTCTAAATTTATTTGTTTCTAATCATTATACTTGACTATTATCAAATAAATATTTCCTTGCATCAAATAATTTTTGATTTAATTTAATTTTAATAGTTTCAATTACAGAAATTTATGGTTTAAGTACAGTTTATTTGATTGAAATAAAAATTACTTGATACAAATAAATATTTATTTGATAATTATTTGAACCAAATACATTTTTTTCAGAGATATAATTTGTATTATATTATATTTTTTTTTTTTGTTATATTTAAATAATGACAAAAAAAAATTTTGAAAAGTCAATTAAATAAACTCCTTGGGATAAAGTTTAAAAACCGGTAAAAAGTGTTGGGAAGAAAATTCTTGACAAGTTGTGAAACTTCTTAACGATAAGAAGACCCTTAGCAGAAGGGTAGTTTTTAAACTTGTTTTTTCAAAAAAAAAAAAAATAAATAAAAAAAACAAATAGCACTTAATCCCTCAAGTGGGGCAACGCATTATTTTGTTTTCCATAAAGAAGGAATTTGCTGGAAAATCGCTCAAGTGAGCCAACCGTGACGAGGAAGACATTTAGAAGTAGGTAGTAGAGTGATCCGCTTACAGGGTTTAAAAGTCAAGTGCCAAGAGCGCAATTCACTCCTTCCACTGAGGTCGAGAATAGAAGACTTTGCTATGAGAGGAGATGGGTCTGAAACCACTTCCCCCTCTATTTTTTTTCTTTATATTTCTAATATATATATATATATATATTCACTTGCTTCTTGTGGCTCTTCAATTCCACCTTTTAGGACACTATTTCATTGAATGTTCTTTTTTTTGCACCCCGTATAACATAAAAGTATCACATTCTATGAAAATGTTTCGACTGACTTTACGATGCAAATGTGTATCGTCAACCGGAAGAAATTCCTTCCATGAAATTTGTTATGGGGGGGATGAGGGGGGTAGGAACGAATTTTTTGGTCCATTGCCATAATCTTATTCGGTCATGGGAAAATGCGCAAGGCGAATTTTCCCATAATCGTAAATTTTGACAATCAAATTATTTTTTATTAATTGAAAATTTTATTGTTCAATTTCTAATTAAATTTTTAATTTTGCATTTCTAATTTTTATTTTTCTAATGCACCCAAAGAAATGATATATTTGTCTCAGAGAAATATTTATTTGATTTAAATAATTTTTATTTGATTCAAATAACTTTTTATTTAGAAAATTATATAGTCTATTTAATTCAATTATTTGGTCTCAAAAATTTATTTGATAAATAACCGATTATTTGCATCTAATAATTTTTTTTCAGTTTATTTTTTTACTTTTTTGAAAAATAGTTTGAGAACAATATTTCGAGGGAAAAAAAATCACTTTTGTAGTTTCACTTTTTTTTTTTTTGTCTGAATATTATTGAAAAATTCTAGTTTAGAATCGTTCTCTATAAACACAAGCCAAAATCCTAGACAATACCCCGAGTTGCTTGAACTCCTCGGATATTGAAGATGCCCAAAAGCAGTATGTACCAATTTCACTGTGTACAAAATGTCTAGCCTTACTCTCTGCATTATTAAATTCAGCCTTCCTTTCTTGCCATAAGCTCCACCATACGGGGGACAATAGCTTCCATCGTGTTTCTCTTTTCGAAATTTTATTAATTTTACACAATTACAATTGAAATATTCTCAAGCAATTTTATACCTATAAAAATGTTTTAAAAAATTTAGGTAAATTATATTTTCCAAAAAATATTTTATTGTATTTTTTATTTTTTTTTTTGTTTTTTTAATCAAGTGATGAGAAAATTATCAACATAAAGTTTTGTGGTGAGATAAGAATGAAGATGAGTAAGAAGTTCAATGGCAAAAATAATTTCAATATCAGCCTCTTTTGCCCAATGAAATAATCTTTGTAGTTCGCGACTTTCTTCAATTCCCCGACAAAGTTCATCAAATTCCTTGGACATTAGAAGTAAAATAAAATGTCGAAAACTTCTTGATTCAATGACTTTTGAACAAAGAAGTATGTGTAATTCTTGTATTTGTATTTTATTTAAAATTGCATTAATCATTGTTGTAAGACCACCATATGAATTATGATTATTTATTGTATTCTCATATGGTGGAATATTATTCCAAAATTCGTGTATCTCATCACGCCAATATTTGATTTTTAAGCCATTTTTTTGCAAAACACGATGAATTAATTGAATATTTGGTAATTTTTTGAATTCAATAATAATATAGGATTTCATGTCATTGATAAATGTTATTGTCTCATTAATTTGCTTATCGTACGATGCATAACTGTGAATTAGACGTTTAACGTCATCTAGTGGAATAAATGCGAGAATATCGTTTAAATCTTCTTCCAAGTTGCTATTGTCCTGATAGAGATATGTTTCGAGTTGTGATAAATTTGATTGTGATCCATTGCGAAAAATTGATAAACCAATTATGATGATAGAAATTGCTGTCGCTAGTCCCAATGCCACTATTGCTGCATTCATTTTCTTTTTTGGTAAGTAATCATAATTTTTTTTTTTGGTTGCTGTCAGAATTTTTTAATTCTCAAATTTTGTTCATTTTTAGAAAATTAGTTTTTTTCGTAATTTTCTTTTCAATCATTTCTGAAATCTAAGGGAAAATATTAGAAATAGCTAATTTGGAATTTTTAATCTACAAATTAGCAAAATTAATAATTTTTTATGAATTAATTTAAGAATTTTTGTTTAAAATTTTATAATTCAAAATTTTTTATTTTGCCATAGTTAAAATTTCCAATAATTTTATTTCTACTTACGAGAAACATTTTTCCAAATGTAATTCAATAAACATTGGTTATAATTTTGAAATAACTTTTAGGTTACATTTGTCTCTTGCATTTTGATGAAAATTTTTGTTATTGCAACTTTTAAATTTATTAAATGAAATGTATAAAATTATTCATAGTTTTGTAGTTTCCAAAAATGATTTCTTCTCAATGCTAGAATAAATTACAAGAAATTTCTGAATTCCATTTTCTGTCAAAATAAAAATTTTCAACTGTTTGAAGTTAACACATAAAGGAAAAAATCGATTAATTTCAATTAATATTTATTACTATTTATTATTTAGAATTTTTAAAAATTATTTTATTGAGTAGCAAAATTTAAATTATTTTTATTAACTAAAAAGTAGGGAAAATATTTTTCAAAAGTTGAATAACTTTTTGAATTATAAAAAACATAAATAAAATCAATTAATGACATAAAAATTAATAAATTTATGCAACTTAATTTTAAATAAATTTATTTAAATAACAAAATATACACAGCGATGAAATGAGTACATCATTCTAATGAGTATATATATATATATATATAAAAGAAAATGAGGGGAGAAAAACAGAATATAAAATATTACAATTTTTTGATTAAATTAAATTCGATGGTCTTGGTGGAAATTTGATACCAAAAAAATCGGACAAAAGTTGAAAAATATTATTAATATCAACGCCCATTGTTTCTAATTTTGTTAATACTCTTTCGACTTCACCAATTTTCGCTAAAGCGTTAATAAGATTTTGTAATTCATTTGATCGTAGTCGCTCGACAAATTCAACGAATACTGGAGAGTCTTTGAGTTTCTTTTCATAAAGTGCATTAAGTTCTTTAACAGGTAAAACAGCTTTAATATCCTTAATCAATCCATTAATACCACCACTTATTTTCTCCTCTGAATTAAAATTAAATTTCATCTCTAATTTTTCCATGCCAATAATTTTATGAACAACTTTCATCCACTTATAAACATCTAATCCAATATTATTTAGATATTCTAAGAATTGTTTCATTTCCTGTGTGGCTTCAACATTACGTATTAAAGTATGAAAATCATTTGATCTCATGTATTTAATAACTTTTTTGAAATCTCTATCAATAAGAGCATAATTAATGACAATTTTTGCGATTTTCTTATTTGGCACAAGTTTCACAAAGTCATTTAAATCTTTCATTAGGGCATCATTGACAAAAATTGTTGATTTTGGTCGTGATGGTAATTTAATTCCAAGAAGTTGACTAATTGCCTTGAGAATTGCGTTGACATCAACACCTTTTTCTTCCACTTTGGTCATCAAATCATTGAGTCTCTCATTAATCATGAGAGTGTCAACCATTATTTGAAATTCAGGGGTCTGAATTTGTTTCAATAGATCCTTTAATGCTTCGGATTTTTCTAATTTATGATTATAGAGTTTTTTAATTTTTTCCACGGGTAGAACTGATAATATATCCTTGATGAATCCAGGTAGTCCTCCAATAATGTCGAGAAAATTAAAAATTGATGTATTTGGTTTAATTGGATCAAGACTCCAAATTGCGTGTAATTTATTGAGAAATGTATAGACATCCAATCCAGATTTATGAAGATATTGCAAAAATGCAGGAACTCCATTAATATTTTCAATATCAGTTACCAGGGCTCCAATATAATCGGATTGAAGATATTCTAAAAAGATTTGGAAGTCCTTGTCAACAGCCACGTACTCCAGAGCAACTTCTAAAACATCATTCATTGGTATTAAATCCATTAAATCATTTAAATCATCATTGAGATTTCCTTCATACCTGATAAACATTGGAGACTTATATTGTGTTCCTGGAAAATGAATTCCAAGGATTTCAGTGATGAGCTGAAGAATTGCCTTGACGTCCACGCCTTTTGATTGTGCTTTATTGATTAATTCCTGGAGTTTTGGATTTGCCCAAACGGTGTTGATGATTTTTTGAAATTCAGGGGAGCTGATTTTTTTAATCAAAGCTGCAAATTCGGTGGATGTTTCTAATTTTTTTTTGTAAAGAGTCTGGATTTTGTCTAGTGGTAAAATTGCCTTGACATCCTCGATCAATCCCGGAAGTCCTCCGGTTATTCTGAATGTTATGTATTCCGAGTCTTCGAATTCAAAAGGGGTCATGTGATCCAAACCCAAAAAATCGTGGAGCTGATTTAAAAGAGTATAAACGTCTAATCCAGCATCACTTAGGTATTTGATGAATAATTTCACATCCTTGATGGCTTCGATTTCGAGAACTAGATTCTTGAAATCATTAGAGAGCATATATTCCACAGCTTCCTGGAAGTCGGCATCTGCTGTTAAGTACTCCATGACCAATGCTTCGATTTCCTTTTGTGGAACTAGAGCCAAAAATTCTTTGAGATCATCATTTAATCCCATTGTGATTGCTCTTGAAGACGGAAACTTAATACCGAGGATTTCGGTAATCAACTTCAAAATTGCCTTGACATCAACTCCCTTGGCTTGTGCTTTATTAACCAATTCCTGGAGTCTTGGATTAGCCCAAACGGTATCGACGATCTTTTGAAATTCAGGTGAGCTGATTTTTTTAATCAAAGCTGCAAATTCGGCGGATGTTGCCAATTTCTTTTTATAAAGTGCCTCGATTTTATCAACTGGTAAGAGGGCCTTGACATCTTCAATTAATCCAGGAAGTCCTCCGGTTATTCTGAATGTTATGTATTCCAAGTCTTCGAATTCAAAAGGGGTCATGTGATCCAAACCCAAAAAATCGTGGAGTTGATTCAAAAGAGTGTAAACGTCTAATCCAGCATCATTTAGGTACTTGATGAATAATTTCACGTCCTTGATGGCTTCGATTTCGAGAACTAGATTCTTAAAATCATTAGAGAGCACATATTCCAAAACTTCCTGAAAATCGGCATCGGATGTTAAATATTCCATGACCAATGCTTCGATTTCTTTTTGTGGAACTAGAGCCAAAAATTCCTTAAGATCATCATTTAATCCCATTGTAACTGATCGTGAAGACGGAAAATGAATCCCAAGAATTTCGGTAATCAATTTAAGAATGGCTTTGACATCCACTCCCTTGGCTTGTGCTTTGTTGATCAATTCCTGTAGTCTTGGATTAGCCCAAACAGTGTCAACGATCTTTTGAAATTCAGTGGAACTGATTTTTTTAATTAAAGCTGCAAATTCAGGAGATGTTTCCAATTTCTTTTTGTAAAGTGCTTCGATTTTATCGACTGGTAAGAGGGCCTTGACATCCTCGATTAATCCCGGAAGTCCTCCAGTGATTTTATAGGCTCCGTAAACAACAATTGATGGAGTAATATGATCTAAACCCAAGAAATCATGGAACTGATTCAAAAGAGTGTAAACGTCTAATCCAACATCATTTAGGTATTTGATGAACAATTTCACGTCTTTGATGGCTTCGATTTCGAGAACTAGATTCTTGAAATCATTAGAGAGCACATATTCCAAAACTTCCTGAAAATCGGCATCGGATGATAAATATTCCATGACCAATGCTTCGATTTCTTTTTGTGGAACAAGAGCTAAAAATTCTTTGAGATCGTCATTTAATCCCATTGTGATTGATCGTGATGACGGAAAATGAATCCCAAGAATTTCGGTAATCAATTTAAGAATGGCTTTGACATCAACGCCCTTGTCTTGTGCTTTATTGATTAATTCCTGAAGTCTTGGATTAGCCCAAACGGTGTCGACAATCTTTTGAAATTCAGGGGAGCTGATTTTTTTAATAAGTGCTGCAAATTCTGGAGATGTTTCCAATTTCTTTTTGTAGAGAGCCTCAACTTTGTCCAGTGGTAAAATTGCCTTTACATCCTCGATCAATCCCGGAAGTCCTCCGGTTATTCTAAAGCTCACGTAATCTAATTCACTAAATTCAAAAGGAGTAATGTGATCCAAACCCAAAAAATCATGGAGCTGATTCAAAAGAGTATAAACGTCCAAGCCGGCATCACTTAGGTATTTAATGAACAATTTCACGTCCTTGATGGCTTCGATTTCTAGAACAAGATTTTTAAAATCATTAGAGAGCATATATTCCACAGCTTCCTGGAAGTCGGCGTCAGATGTCAGATATTCCATAACTAAAGCCTCGATCTCCTTTTGTGGAACTAGTGCCAAAAATTCTTTGAGATCATCATTTAATCCCATTGTGATTGCTCGTGATGATGGAAACTTTATTCCAAGAATTTCGGTAATCAATTTCAAAATTGCCTTGACATCAACTCCCTTGGCTTGTGCTTTATTTATTAATTCCTGGAGTTTTGGATTAGTCCAAACAAGATCGACAATTTTTTGAAAATCAGGGGAACCTAATTTTTTAATCAAAGCTGCAAATTCAGATGATGTATCCAATTTCTTTTTGTAAAGTTCCTGAATTTTATCTAATGGTAAAATTGCCTTGACATCCTCGATTAATCCTTTGAGTCCTCCTGTAATTTTGTAAACCTGATATAAAGTCTCATAGGAGTCATCAAATTCCATTGGAGTAATATGATCCAAACCCAAAAAATCGTGGAGTTGATTCAAAAGAGTGTAAACGTCCAAGCCAGCATCACTTAGGTACTTGATGAACAATTTCACGTCCTTGATGGCTTCGATTTCGAGAACAAGATTCTTAAAATCATTCGAGAGTAAATATTCTAAAGTCTCCTGAAAATCAGCATCGGATGCTAAATATTCCATAACTAATTCCTCAATTTCTTTTTTTGGTACAAGTGACAAAAATTCTTGAAGATCATCATTTAATCCCATTGTTATTGAACGTGTATGACGACTTGATGGGAATTTAATTCCAAGAATATCAGTGAGCAATTGAAGAATAGCCTTGACATCAACACCTTTAGCTTCAGCGCGATTAATTAATTTTATGAATTTTTCATTTGCCCATACAATATCAATTATTTTTTGTGATTTCTCTGATTTTAATTGTTCAACAAGCGAACGAAATGCTTGTGATGTTTTTAATTTTTCCTCATAGAGTTCTTGAATATCATGAATTGGTAGAATTGCTTTGATATCTTCAATTAAACCCGGAAGTCCACCGGTGATACGTAATAAACCATAATTATGTGAAAATGGAACATAATGATCGATTCCAAGGAAATCGTGAAGAATTTTAAGACCATTGTAAACATCTAATCCAACGTTATTTAAATATTGAATAAACATTCTCACCTCGGGTATTGCTTCAATGTCTAAAACTAAACTTCTAAATTCATTCGAAAGAATATAATCCATTGTTACTTGAAAATCATGATCAGTTGCTAAATATTCAAGAACTAGATCTTGAATTTTTTGCTTTGGAATCAAGGCAAGAAAATCGTCAATATCTTGTTGCATTCCTAAATTAGTAAAACGAGTTAATCCTGGGAATTTAATTCCAAGAATTTTTGTAACAAGATCAAGAATAGCTTTGACATCAACACCTTTGGCTTTTGCTTTGTTTATTAAATCTTGAACTTTTGGATTTTTAAAAACTGTATTCACTGTATTTTGAAATTCAGACGATTTAATGTGTTTTATTAAATCGGCAAATTCTTTGGATGATTTAAGTTTTTCTTGATAAAGTGCTTCGATTTTTTCAAGTGGTAAAATAGCTTCGATGTCTTTAATTAATCCTGGTAATCCACCGGTGATTTTTCTCTCAATTTGTTGTGTTATTGGTACATAATGTTCAAGACCCAAAAAATCGTGAAGTTGATTTAAAAGATTGTAAACATCAAGTCCAGAATCGTGAAGATATTTAAGAAATACCTTGACATCTTGCATTGCTTCAATTTCCAATACTAATGATGTAAATTCCTTTGAGACGAGATATTCCAATGTTTCTTGAAAATCAGCATCGTTTGATAAATATTCGAGGACAATTTCTTGAATTTCTTGAACAGGTACCAATGCCAAAAAGTCTTTTAAATCTTTTTCTAATCCGCTTGATAATAATGATGATGATGATTCATTGTCGATTGGTACACTGTGGACCCTTAAGGTCCCAGCTGTCGCCAGGAACAGCACGAGTGCCAACTTCATCTGCAATTTTTAATCACTTTAAACTTTTATTTCATTTTAAAATTTTGACAAGTTAAACAAAAATTTTTTTTTCTAAAGTAGAATTAAGAAATCGGAGTAAAAGAAGTAAAAATGTAAAATTCGAAAAATTAGTCAGTTTATATAATCTTTATAATTAACTTTAGAAGAAAATTAAAAAGCCACTGATTTTAATTTTTGGAGATAAAAAAAAAAATAAAAATTAATTTAGTACTCACTGTGAAAAGAGACGTTGCTACTAATTGAATTCCGTTTATCGGTGATTTATATACGAAAATTTTGTGACATTGTCATCAGATACGATAGATCATTGATCTCACTTAATCGATAAGATTAAAATTATATATTTTCAATGTGTTTAAAAGAAAAAAAAAAAATTGCTACTCTAACTTTTATTTTATGCAATATATTCACGTGAAGATAAAAATTACTATTATCTGCTATTGATAAAAAAAATAACGATCAACGCTGATTTTATAAGTTAAATTCATCATTTTATAAAAATCAGTAATTAAAATTAAATAAATAAAAATATTTAAAATGTTTTATAATTTATATTTATTCAATTTTTTGTTTCAGGAACTTGGATGCTGCTATCTGTAAGTCTTTTATAGTCTTTTTTATGATCATAATTTTGATTTGTGATAAAATATAATTTAATTGAATTTGTTTGAAACTTAAAAGGAACTGATTTTCGGTTATATATAGGAAAAAATGTGATAATAATTGCATTTTACTAGATAGGAGAATGATTTTTTTTTCTCTCTTTTTTTGGGGAGATAAATTTCTCGCTTGGCTACTATTGCAGACTATCGAATCGGATTTTGGTCTTGAGGGTTTGGGGACAATAAGACACTTGTAACAAATCCTTCGCGAGTAATCGAGGTTACACTATGGGCAAGGTTTTACTCAGGAACACTTAACTCTATTGCGATTGGATTTTCTAGGATCCCCGCTCTCGTTTCTCTCTCACTCTCTCCTTCCATGATGGTGGCTTTCTTATACGCGGAAACCTTATTACAAGCGACGATAAAATACCTCGGGGAACGGAGAAACATCGGTCCGTTCAGCTGGTGAAACTCGCCTTATCGCTGCTACTGATACAAATCGAGAATGGGACTCCAATGAAGTCAGAGAGTTAAAAAAAAAAAAAAAAAATAGGTGAGAGAGAGCGAGAAAAAAAAAACGCTGAAAGAATCTGAGAAAGTAAAGTAAAAAAAAAAAAGATAAAAGTGAAGTGAAAAAAAATGGGGGGAAGTTTCCTCGAATGCTTAACAATGACAGCAAGCAAAAGAAAGAGAGAAAAACTCCGATAAAACAAGTCAAACAACAATTGAGACAGTTTTTCTCGATAATAGAATTTCCGGTGGGAGGTTTTCTTTTTCCTCCCTAAAGAAAACAAATATTTTATTTTTTAATATGAAGGAGAAATTACATTTTTTTTCGATGGTTATTATCTGGGGTTTTTTTATTTTCGAGTGACATGTCTGAGTGAAACTTACTTTTACTACTGATTTTAAAAATAGAAGAAATCGAAAGTGTTTCGTCTTACCTAAACTGGCTTTAACTACTGATTTCCATTTTTATAGGAATTCGTAAAAATTCTAAGTTCTGCCTTACCGAAACAGTCTATTACTACTTATATACCAAAAATCGCGTCTGACTGTAACTAACTGATACTACTGATAAAAAATTAAACCGTTCTGTCGCTTTAAAATTAACCTCTACTGTTACAATAAAATTACACCGAAAAAAAAATCCTCTTGTTTCAAGAGGATTTCTCTTATTTCAATGCATATTTTCCTCTAGTATATGCTGCAAAAGGATGTCCTCTAGGTTTAAGAGGATTGTCCTCTATGTAAAATTATTCCTCTTAATTTAAGAGGATACTCTTATTTTAAGAGGAAAATATCATCTTAAAAAGAACTCTGAAATAATAAAAATGCAATCATCTAATTTGTATGTCATAGATATAATCTATAAAATTAAAAGGAATAAAATTTGTTATTCCATGATGTAAGTTGCATCTCTATCAAGATATTTAAAAGATTATTATCCATTTTGGTTTATTCCCCTTTTTTCACACAGAAACTAAAACTTTTTCACGTATGATATGCGATTTATGACGCGACGTAAATGATAGGACGCAATCATCTTTGCGCATGAGCGACTTTCTATGGGAAATCCTCTTAGAATTTAGAGGAATATTCTTAAACATAGAAGATTATTCTAAATTCTAAGAGTATTATTTTTATTTTAAAAAGATTATTCTGAATATAAGAGGAATATGCTCTAGAATAGTCCTTTTGTTTCGATCCTCTTGAAATTAGAGGAAAATATTCTCATTTAAAGAGTAATACTCTTGTTTTAAGAATAAAATTCATAAGCATTCTGTAAGAGGAATTTTTCTCTGAATACAAAAATATTTTTTTTTCGGTGTACAAACAGAAAATTGTCTTTATGAAAATTTATATAATTTTCCACTTTTGTCTGACTAAAGCAAACATTTATTACTTATACTAATAATAATAATAATAATAATAATAATAATAATAATAATAATAATAATAATAAATATAAATAATAATATAATTTATTCTAATAAAAAAATTGGAAGGAAAAAATTTTTAAAAAAAGTGTAAAAGGATATAAAAAAAATATTAATAGGGAGTTTCATATAAAAAAAAAATTGCTTTGAACGGCCCCTTTTTTGTTGACGTCTTTCGCCTTTAAGTTCGGCCTCGAACCAATTACCATTCTCTCTATGTGACCCTGGTGTCGTGTTTCTAGCTGAAACGTCGCGTTCTACTCATGTGGCTGGCATTAGCCAAGTCACCCTATGGCCAGTAGAACCCCCAAAGCATACCACCTACGCACCTTGTAACGTGGCCATTGCACAAACAGTGAGCCACTCTGTGTTTGGCGACCGGCCGGATGTACGAGGGTTGCCGACCACATCACTCGTCCTCCAAACAGGATACCTCGACGTTGAAATATAAGCAACCTCTCTCTCTCTCTCTCTCTCTCTTCTCGGATCGCTACTTTCCCCGTTGTTGGCATGCTTCACGTAATTTTCATCACACGAAACAAACTTTCTTTGTTTAACTTTCTAAACCCCCCCCCCCATATATATATAGTATATAATTTTGTATTGCGAGAAATTCATTAACAAACTATTCATCGATATTGAAGTTTTTGTTCTATTTTCTTAATGAAATACAGTGATACCTCGATAAGTGAGATGGCTTATAAAAATTTGGAAACGGATATATTTATCCAGTGAACAAGTGGAATTGTTTTGATAAGAAGTTGTGAATATTTTCAGTAAAGAAGTTGTTTCGAATTCCATTTAAAAAGGTTTGACTGTATTTCGAAAAAGTATACATTTTTTATTCATGTCTTTTTAAAAAAGGTTTTGTTATTTTTGATATATTTTTTTTTGATTCTTGGGATTCTTGTAAATATTTTTCGTACTAAAAATGTTTTTCGTAAGGTCACAATTACAGAGGTTTGACTGTATATTTTTGACAACTAACTCTTTTATACGGTTTTTAAAATTACAGAAGATTTATGAATATTTTAGAAACTAAATTGTAGGAAACATGTAAATTTCTAAACCGTATAGGGATTCTTTTCAAAGTGTCTTACTTTCATAGGATCGACTGTATTTAAAAAGGGGAATATATTCGGTTCTTAAGCTAAAAGTTTTGTTATTTTTAAAACAAATATTTTTGATACAATTTTTCTAGTAATTTTGTAATTATTTTCCTTATTAGGAATTTTTCTTGTAAAATACCACTTAAACAGGTTTGACTGTATATTTTTGAAAAACTATCTCTCTTATTCGGTTTTTAAAATTACAAAAGATTTCTGAATATTTTTCATACAAAATTGTGGGAATCTTGTTAATATTTGCAATAGTAGGAATGTTTGTTAAAATATCTTACTTTAACAAGTTTGAATGTATACACTTGGAAAACTATCTTTTATATTCGGTTTTTATTTACAGAAGATTTTTGAACATTTTTGATACAAAATTGTAGGAAAAATGACAATTTTTTCAATCGTAGGGATTTTTTTTAAGTTCCCATTTAAACAGGTTCGACTGTACACATTTGAAAAGAGTATTTTCAATTATCCGATTCTTATAAAAGGTTTCGTTATTTTTAAAACGAATATTTTTGAAACAATTTCTGTGTAAATCATGTAAATATTTTCATTATTAGGAATTTTTCTTGTTAGGTCCCACTTAAACAGGTTTTAGTGTATATTTTTAAAAAACTATCTCTCTTATTCGGTTTAAATTTACAAAAGATTTCTGAATATATTTTTAATATGCAAATATGAGAATCTTGTTAATATTTTAAATAATATAAATATTTCCTAAAATGTCTCACTTTAACAGGTTGCACTGTATAGACTTGAAAGGAGCATCTGAATAGTTCGGTTTTTAAATTGACAAAGAGAATATTTAGAAAATATTCTCTTCTTAAAGACAATATTCTAGATACTATTTTTGTAGGAATCTCGTAAATTTTTTCATTAATAGGAATTTTTCTTGTAAGATCCCACTTAAACAGGTTTGACTGTATATTTTTGAAAAACTATATCTCTTATTCGGTTTTTAAACAGAAGATTTCTGAATATTTTTTTGATACAAAATTTTAGGAATCTTGTTAATATTTTTCGTAATAATTTTCTTCCTAAGGTCTCACTTACACACGTTTAATTGTATATACTAAAAAATATCTCAATTATCCGCTTCTTAAATTTACAAAAGGTTTTCATATTTATATTTTTGAATACAGTATTTTTGATACAATATTTTTGATACAATTTTATTGTAAATCTTATAAATATTTTCAATAGGAGTAATTTACGTTTCACTTTAACAGGTTTGACTGTATACACATTTCGTGAATGTATCTCATATTATCGTAATTATTAAAATTGACTTTTATTTCTATGAAAATGTTTCAATT